CAGCAGGAAGGGGAGCCGATTCGAAAAGGGAGCCGTCAGCAGCAGCAGAGCTGCCCACAGCCACCCTGGGCATCGCCTGCCACGTTTCCTGCGAGCACAAAGGCTCCGCAGGGCTCAGGACCTGCCCGGGTAAACAAGCAGCGCTGCAGCGAGGGAGCAGCAAACCCTCCTGGGGACGTGGTGTTACCACCGCACTGGGCTGGGCTGCTTGGGAGCACAACCTCCCACTCCCGAGTTATGCTGGCAAACAAGGTGTCTGGTTTTGGTCCCTGCTGGGGTGCTGGCAGCAGCAGGGTTAACCCAGCTCGGCTCCCTGCTGCAGGGTAGGTACAGGTGCTGCCTCGCCTGGACTTTGGTCCTGGCCAGTGCCTTGTGCCAAGGAAATTGGGGGCTGACTGTGGACATGGAGCTGGCCCCGGGGGCCTTGGGAGCCAGCCGTGTGTGGAGCTGAGGCCAGGCCTGCTCCTCTGGGAAGGGTGGGCAGGAAGGTTGAGACCCTCAGCAGGGTGCACCTCCCTGCTCTCCATGGCCCCATGGGTGAGCAGGAGGGCTGGGCTGGGGGCCAGGGAGCCCTCCCCTGTGTCCCTGGTGCTGCTTCCAGTGGGCTGTGCTGGACTGGGGAGGGAGCCACCCGCTCCCCACCTTGGCTTCAGTGATTGCTTTTCCAGCTCCCAGCAGGATCCTGCTTTGAGGCAGAGCTGGGCTTGTTTGGAGCTGTTTGCAAGCCGCAAAGCCTCAGCCAGGCTCCTGGCACCCATTTGCAGTTCCCTTGTGCTGGTGTAGCTCTGGCTGACATGTTAAGAGCAATGCTGGGGAGAAGGGGGTGAGCAGACCCCTCCTGAGATCCTCAGGGTCTCTGGCTGCAGCGCTCTGTGCTATCCTATAGGTCTGTGCAATGCCAGCTGCTGTCACGGGACATGTGGCTGGGCACCCTGTCTGCAGGGATGCAGAGACACATCCCCTTGTACAGGGACGTGCCTTGGGAGGCAGCAGGGACCAGTGTGTGACAGCGGTGCTGGGCCTGGCTCCCATCTTGCCCCGGGAACCTCTTTGTTCCCTGCTGCTCTGCCATCCCCTCTGTGATGACTCTGTTGTTCCCCCCACAGATCCGGCTGCGGTGCCAGAAGGGGATCCCACCCTCACTGCGGGGCCGAGCCTGGCAGTACCTCTCCGGGAGCAAGGTGAAGCTTGAGCAGAACATTGGCAAGTTTGATGTGAGTGCAGCTGGGGACCTTCCTGCACTGCTGGTGGGGGGTGTTTGTGGAGGGGGACAGCGCTGGGATAGCTCCTGCTTCCTCCAGGGCTGGGGTGTCTGTTAGGCTTGTTCCCGCTGTGTGGGGTTCAAGGGGGCTAGCGTCCCAGCCAGCATGGGCTGACCCATGACCTGATGGGGCTTGTGTTTGGGGCAGATCCAAGTCCAGCCCTGTGGCTGCTCCACCAGCTCCCTTGGGCTCACTGTGGGCCCCATGTGTTGGAGTGGGGCTGGCACCATGCCAGCGTGGGGTGTTGTTCACCCCAACTCTCTCCTCCCCAGGAACTGGATCTCCTCCCAGGGGACCCTAAGTGGCTGGACGTGATCGAGCGGGATCTCCATCGGCAGTTCCCCTTCCATGAGATGTTCGTCTCACGTGGAGGCCACGGGTAAGTGGAGCTGCTGCGTGTCCAGTCCTTGGCAGCCACCGGGCTGGAGCAGCACCATGGGGTGGGCACTGTCTATCCCAGCTCACAGAGCTGCCGTGTGCCCCCGCCATCCTTACACCCCAAGCCTGCACAGCATCCAGGCACTGGCTGAAAACAGGACGGCTTCCTAGGAGCTCGGTGTGTGGGTCACAGCCCTCGGCACCAGCTCTGACACCCAGCAGGGTGGGAATTGCTGCAGCAGGAGGGCGAAGGGAGGAGGTGGCCGGCTGTGGCCTCCGTTTCACCAGGGAAATGCCTCTCCCCATGTGTCAGGGATCACCTGCACCACTATGCTTGCAGCTGGGTCCATGCCTGGCCACGGCTCACCCTGAGCCAGCATCCCTGGGAGATGGTCTGTTCCCTGTCTTGCCTCTCGGATCCAGGCAGGTTGGGGCCTCTGTGGGCAGTGTTTCCCAGAGCAGAGCCATGGTTATTGTGTCCTGTAGCCCTGGGTTTGTGTGGAAGAGAGATCCCAGCCAGACACTGACTCAAGCTCTTGGGGGAAGAGGGCTGACCAGCAGCCAGCCTGCAGTGCTGGATCACCATGCAATGCCAAGTGCCGATTTGGTCCATGGGGGAGGCTGGTGGGCTGTGTCCATGCTTCCTCCACCTCTCCCTCCCCGGGGTGTCTCCACAGGCAGCAGGACCTGTTTCGGGTGCTGAAGGCATACACACTGTACCGCCCGGAGGAGGGCTACTGCCAGGCCCAGGCCCCCATCGCCGCTGTCCTGCTCATGCACATGCCAGCTGAGGTATGAGCGTCTGGCCGAGAGGGCACGGAGACCCAGGGGCTGGAGAGCTGGGACCAGTGGGAGGGTGTGGGTCGCTTTGGGGTGGTGCTGGCAAGCAGGGTGCTTGGCTTATGGCACCCATTTACCCCAAAGCTCAGCTGGTGGAGGGAGGTGCCTTTTGCCCCAGGTGTGCTTGCCTTCTCCTGTCTGCTCCCTTTGTCCCTGGGAGCAGGGTGGGGGCTGCAGGGATGTCCTCCAGGGACACCTGGGTGCTCACCTGCTGTCCCTTGGCTTGCAGCAAGCGTTCTGGTGCCTGGTGCAGATCTGCGAGAAGTACCTCCCTGGCTACTACAGCGAGAAGCTGGTGAGTGAAGGGACCGCAGTGCCTTCAGTGGTGGCAGGGACCTGTGATGGCTCCAGGCTGAAAGCTTCCCCAGCTCCTTACCCTGGAGAAAGAAGGGGGCTTGGGGAGGTCCTGGGCACTCCCATGGTCTCCATGTTGTGCTATGGTCCCCAGAAGCATCCTGCAGTCAGGGATGGGGGACTCAGTGTAGCTTTGCTGCCAGTGTCTGTGAGGCACCGCTCTGATCCTGTAGCCAGGTCTGGAGGGTGAGCTGTTCCTCCTCTGAGGCCAGTGGGCTGGGCCGAGGGGAGCTGATCCCAGGGCTGGGCTGGGGTTAAGGCGCTCACTGTGGCTCTCGATGCTCTCCCTGCAGGAGGCCATTCAGCTGGACGGGCAGATCCTCTTCTCGCTGCTGCACAAGGTCTCGCCTGTAGCCTACAAGCACCTGAGCAAGCAGAAGATCGACCCCATCCTCTACATGACAGAGTGGTTCATGTGCGCCTTCTCCCGCACGCTGCCCTGGAGCTCTGTCCTGCGTGTCTGGGACATGTTCTTCTGCGAAGGTAGAAGCTCCCCACCATCGTCCTCTTCCTCCTGGGGTGACTGGCCGCAGCCCCTGCAACATATGGACAGCACTTGGGGCTGCAGCAGGAGTGCTGCCACAGCTGCTTGCCTGTACCTGGCACATGGGACCTGTTGTAGGGCAGGTTTGGGGCAGCCATGTACCCGGGGTGGAGACTGGGCTGTTTTCCTGGGGGTTAGGAGGCACGTGCATCCCAAATCCACCCTCTCGCCTGTCCTGACTGTTGGCGGAACCAGGATCTGGTGCCCTGCAGCATCTGAGGGACACAGTAGCAGCGTCACCCTGTCCTGCCTGGTGCTTGCTGCCTCACCTCTCCCCTTGCAGGGGTGAAGATCATCTTCCGGGTGGGCCTTGTGCTGCTCAAACACACCCTGGGCTCCTCAGACAAGCTCAAGTCCTGCCAGGGCCAGTACGAGACCATGGAGAGGCTGAGGGCCCTCAGCCCCAAGATCATGCAGGAGACCTTCCTGGTGCAGGAGGTGAGGTGCTGGGGAGAGTCTGGGGGCCTGGTGCTGCCCAATTGGCCATGCTGCTGGATGGGGCCGCTCCTGCGTGGGCAGAGCTGGTATAGCATGGGGACAGTCCCCAAAAGGCATGGATTTGGGGTTGCCTCTGTCCTGGGGGATATCCCACACCCTGCCCCAGTGGCTGGGGTGCTGAGCCGGCCATGGGTGGCACTGTCACTGTCAGGGAAGATGCTGATGGCACAACTCTGTCCTCTGCAGGTCATTGAGCTGCCAGTGACGGAGCGTCAGATCGAGCGGGAGCACCTGATCCAGCTGAAGAAGTGGCGCGAGACACACGGGGAGCTGCAGTGCAAGTCCCCCCCGCGCCTGCA